GTCCCCGAACGCCCTCTCAGAAACCCAGTACAACTTAAACCTCAGTGCCTGTAGCGAGTACCTGTGTCGTCCCACAAAATGCACAAAGAAAACAGCAACGCGAAAGACCTTTCAGAGATTGTATTTGTTCCCAAGCTTTGGAAGTATGTTAGCACCGCCTCATTAAGAACGTGAGCATAATATTACCTATATCCACAAGACAAGTGTCACATTTAAATAACTGACACTTTTCAGGAGCGATCCCATTTATCTCGCGTCCAGTCACAAAGTGTCTTTCTACACATCTTTTCTTGCGAACTAAAACAATGCTCTTGAAGGCGTGTCACTCTCCTTGTGCACCGATGTGTCGTCAAAATGTTAGTAATCAATAATCAACTGAAGCATCTGATTTTGCCTATCGCCAAATGACTTTCGTGAGCTCATAAACATCAGCTTTATTTTATAGTGGCTCCCCAGTCGCTCAGCCAACAGCAGCTGGAACCGTGAATCGTCATACTGTAATTCCAACATCATTCCGAACTTTAGGAACAGAATAGACTTGGTGTTCGAAATAGTGTTTAGGGGTCATAAGTATTCACTACTTGTGCTTTAGTAGTTAAATGAACAACAATGATTTACCCAACACAGGACGAATGGTCAGTGAAGCCCTAAATTCGTTATATCATTCGAAAGAGTCATCTAATATGGTTACCGACGAAAGCAACGTGAATCACACGGACAACATGGAATTCACCGAAATACCGCCTCAACGTCAACACAATGCAAGTAACAACATCCAATTCGAGGCCGGATAATCAGGCCAGTCCGAGGACCAAATCATTCACAACAGTCTGATGCTTAAACCCAACCGCATCAGAACAAGATAATGTCGCAAGGAAAGCGAGCCAGCGATAACGAAAATGATAACAGATCTAAAACGTGTAACCACCGACAGTCAGCCTCTGACAGGGTCGAACTTACGAAGTCAATCCAATCTAGAAATCAAAACATATTTAGATGGCTAAACTAAGAGATCCCAGATGATCTAAGTGACGAAAATAATATCCCACCTATGTTTGTTACTAATCTTGAAAATTAAGTTACCCTCGCGAATGAAATAAAATCTAACATCTCGTCCAACTTCACTACAGAGTTAAAGAATCAAAAGATTCGAATCCAATTCCAGCCATTAATCGACTTCCGAAAAGCAGTTAAATATTTCCTGGCCACCAAAAAACAATTTCATACGTATTCGGATAAAATTAGTAAAACATATTCAAAAGTGGTCAAAAATATTTACCCTTCAATCTCAGAAAATGAAATTCTAGTTGAAATCAATAACAAATTCAATTCTGCTACAAAAGTGACTTGACTATATAAAGATATTTCCTCTATCCCAGTAGTGGCAGTAGACTTTGATGGAACTTACAAAATCGAGGATGTGTTAGAAATTAAACAAATAGGCAACAACATTGTGAAACCAGAAAAAAAACCAAGGGCCCCCTACAATTCCACCGGTGTTTAGACTTTGGACACAGTAAAAATAATTGAAATCATACAATTTCGTCTGTGTTTTGTGCAGATGATCACCTATCAGTAAACTGACCAATAGGACTCCGCTCCTACATTGTCTGGGGAAGCGTAAGGCAGATCAGTAGGTTGTACATATTATGGAAAAAGTTTATAATGTAAAAGAAAAGCTGAAGTACTGGCCTCCCACTCTGTTGACACTTTCACCCACAATAATTCTCCCCAAAATCACCACAAATTCCCAGTCACCCAATAGCAAAACCAAGCAAGAATCACTCAAAAGCAGAAAATTACAGACCTATCAGCCTGCTACCTATAATGTCAAAAATCTGAGAGAAATTAATACTCATCAGATTGAACAAACATGACAAAAAACAAACAGTAAATCACAGCACCAGTTTGGCTTCAAGTCACAATACTCTACCACTCACCAACTACTAAGGCATGCGGAACACATTCACACTGCATTTCAAAGGGGACAAGATACCATCGCTGCATTCGTTGACATCTTGCAAGCATTCGACAGAATATGGCATCCAGCGCTCTATTTTAAATTAATTTTTAATAGGTACACCCAAACATACAGTGCTTTTTATCCTTAACTATATAACAAACAGAACATTTTCAGTATAAGTCGAAGGCCACTGTTCCAAACCAAGGAAAATTTCTACTGGGGTTTCCCAAGTTTCCCCCACGTTGTTCAATATATACACTGCAGATATTCCTACTTCAGCACAAATAAACACCGCTCAATTTGCCGATGACAATGCATTATACGTACATGTCAGGGAACTCTTTAACAAATCTTCAAACACAGCTTCAGAATCTCTTAAATTTCCTTGCAAATTGGACTAATGTCTAAAATAAAGTTGAACCAAACAAAATCTGTAGCAAAAATATTCACATTAAAACCATTCACACACCTTCTTCCATTCTTCATAAATAACGACATCATCAGTCGTACACCAGCGAATAAAACAATAAAATACTTGGGCCTAAACTTCGATACTCAACTGGAAGGAACATATAGAGGTAGAAACTCAGCAAGCCAAAAGTGAACTAATTCAAATACGACACTTATTGAATCAGCACAGTCAATTCTCCAATTCTAATGCACTATTACTCTACAAAACCAGAATCCGGCCGACATTACTCTATGCTTGTCCCATCTGGACCAATGTCGCCAATACTAACCTATCCAAAATACTAGTTACCCAAAATAAATTCACAAGATTAATTTAAAAAAGCATACAAAAGCACCATGGTTTATCAGGAACAATCAACTGCATAATGATTTAAATATAAACACAACAAAAATCCAAATAGCCTACCTCGCACACAATTTTTAAACCACCCTTCCTCGAATTCAAGCATCATCCTTCTACAAACTAGGCAAAAACCCTAATTATCAAACGATAATTAATAACAGATATCCCTTCCATTCATTTTACAAAATGTTCGCGAATTGGAATAATACGTATTTGAGGTGATTCCTGCTTCCTCTCCCACTATTTTTTTAATATTAAATTTATATAATTGTAATGTGTACAATTTTAAGTTAGTGTAAGTTACTATTAGTTAGATTAAGACCATCAAACATTAGCACAGTTAATTTGTAAATTGAACAATGTAATGTCTACCAAAAAATAAAATTGCAATAAAAAAGCAGTGGCTCACCGCTGACCTCCTACAATGCTACCACGCTCTAGTTATCTTCCAAGGCCACGCCTTCAAGAAACAACTGGCAGACACAACAAAGCAAGCTATAAGCAGTCAATGAAATGCATTCAGTTCAGGTAAGCAAAACTCAATTTTTCTGTTCTCTCTCCAATTCTTCAAAAGTATTATTTGATTTTTCGATAATATCAATGCAAAAAGCCAGTGACGCAATCGTCTATAAAGATGAACCCAGTTTCCTAAAGCACGGATTACCGTGAGTCCTGTTTAAGTGTACAGTGTAAGTTTAAATAGTCTTATTATGAATAGGAGTATTGTAAATTAGCATGAATAGAAATTTCTTCAAGAAATATCAAAATAGCCATCGTGTAATTGATATGAAGAATTAATTGTGATCGAATATTCCCAACTTCAAGATTCTGTGAGGATAAGTTGCAAAAATATCACGTTCAACTTCCCCTTTCCAGTTGTTCAATCTTTAGCACGACTGTGTATTTTGTTGGATAATTGAGTTTATTGTAAATTCAATTATTTCACTTGTTTTACATACTGGCGTTAGTTAGGAATGAACTATTTTACTCTCTCGCGTACTATTATCCAAGTGCAGTTTTCATTTAACATTGTGTGCTGTCATGGAGCTAGCAATACGCCGTATATATATATATATATCTATATATATATACTAATTGCTTGTAATACGTTTACGTTTTTCGGTTCAATTTTTAATAATATTTGATTTTTCAAATTAAAAAAAAACGCACTATATTTCTGTAAGCATGGAAAAGAACATAAATTAGGATAATATAATTATGTTTCATTTGTTAAAGTTTTGATAGTAATTTGAATATAAAAAGAATAACATTCGTTTATGCGAAAACCACTTACAAAATAGAGCGTTTTCAACTACGATGTGCTAACTTCACACTTAGTTCCCATAGAAACAAATTGGAACTTCTCAAAATCGTTTGTACAGGATTGCCCCACTAGAATTTTTGCTTGTACCACAAATATAAGTATTTTAAAATGGCGGCGGGAGTCTCTCGCTATCCCTAACACAACCCAGTCACCACCACCACCACCACCACCACCAAAAAATTAAACCATTCTAAATCGTTTGTATCTTTGCTCCGGATTCTTCCACCAGAATGTGTGTGTACCAAAAACAAATATTAAGATACATGCGCTATTATGAAGGGGTGAGATCCTCACGGGAACCCTACATCTACCACCATCCCCACCTGAGCCAAAAATATTGGAACCATCCTAAATCGTTTGTACTTTGCTCCGGCTTGTTCTGTCCGAATTTTCGTTTGTTTCAAAAAAATTCAGGTTATAGAAATTTTAAACCCTTTGTTATTGCACGCATGGGTCTAGTGGACCCATTGTGGTTTAAAACGGCAATATCTCGATGCGTGGCGAGTGAACGTTTACGAGATGTCTTGACATCCTGTGTCGAACTATTTTGCACGCGGTGGCAAAAGTCTCCACCAGATAAGCCAAAGGACAAAAGGTCGCGTTGCCTCTCTTCTCTTTGATGCGCGACGCGCGGGTCTGCCAGAATCCGAGTGCCTCATGGCCGCACACTCACTTCGCAGAAAGACACCAAGCCGTTGCGAAGTTTGCTCTTCTCGCCCTTAAGCTTACACGCGTGCTTCCTGTGTTTGTAGGTATTACAATAACCTAAAGTATTCCCCTACTTTTATTCTTCTCAATATGAGTAAACGTTTTAATCCGTCAATGGCAGACGATGTAGAAAATGTTTTATCTGACGATGTTGAAGATGAATATTTCGAAGACATTATATAATATTATAGATAAATATTGCGAAGAATTGTAATCGAAAGATAATGTTGAAGAAAAAACTACGAATACGTATTCAGATACGGACCATGACCTTAGCAAATATGAATCATGGTAAATACTATTGAGGACACATCGTTATCATTTTTTAATTTTTTTTATTTTTATTCATTTATTTATTTATTTTGTAATGCTATTTATGCTAGCAATGTAGAACTTCCCCTTTCAGTTTTAAGATGTGCGTTCCTTTTCTTCTTTCTAAAAATATGTCAACTCTTTGGACAACGCATAGAACCATTTCCGCAACATTGTCCTATATTGTGATAAGCCAGAAACTCCAGGTTTGTTTTGAATGGGGGAAAACGGCATCAAATGGGTGTAATATGATTGTATGCAGGCTTGGGAATCAAAGAATACACGTTGTTAGCGCAACAAATAAAGTATAGTATTCCATATTTGGGTATCACTGCGCTGGACACGGCCCCAAATACACGAGATGCGATAAATGGGAAATAACCTTTGAAAGCTGTGATTCTGTGGGAAGGTGAAAATATTCAGTCTCTGCCCACCTGGACACATGTAAGCAATTGATGCGATGTGAATGTTATTTGTCAGTATAGTCTGGGGTTATTTATAGATAGTATTGAGGCGGGTATATGATGATTAGTGTTGATAGATTAGCATTGTGTAGAATAAAATTTGAAGGTGTTAGCAGTTTTCAATTACAATTGCGGTTTTCGTTAATGTAATTTGAGACGTAAGTCAAATATACTTCGTATTTTTTAAGGGATTTATGTCAGGATAGCTCCGTAGATGGGGAGGATTTTTTATATTATATTAGTCGGCTGGAGATAGTCGCCTATAAGGAGTTCACTTAAACCCGAGCGAGGGGCAGTCGCGTTCGCGAAGTAATTTTGATAGAAAGCATTGAATTATGTTAAGTAAAAAATAGTCGAGGACATTCCGAGAATATATGATAATTTATTCGGACGATAAGCAAAAACACTACAAAAGGAGCAATGAGAGCATTCCTTGGACAACGACTACAGCCCAGAATTACAGACATAAAATCAGCACTAAGCTTACGAACTTTATTTCAAAATCTTCGGTACATTTATGTCGTGTATATGAAGTTAATTCATGAGTACCAAAACATTATGTAAAATTATTATAATAAAGGTTAAATTTTATTTTTGAAAAGAGAAAAGTATGATAATTCACAGTAGTTGCCTTAATTTAATAGTTTGTTCTGCAGAACCTCAAGGAATCGTGATTCCGTATGGAATTACACGTACACATGCAGAAGGTAAGACGAGAAATGCATGTTAGAGCCCATGATTCAATTTAAAAGTGAAATTAATATAATCATATTTTAATATTGAGAGAATATGTGAGCGTAGCAGGGCAACAAAAGAAAAACGTTTCATTGATAAAATCAGTAAGAAAAGAATAGTAGTGTTACAAATGGCCATTGCGGACCAAGTTATCAAAGATAAAGAAGCAGTAATGTTACAAATGGATGCCCAAGGGGAGCAGTGAAGTTAATTATTAAATATTTGAACAAATGAGAATTTTAAAGTACGTAATACAATTAGTTTTTAACCATTGAAGTTTGTACATTAAAACCTGCCAAGGACGAAATCTGACGGTTCTTTAAAAAATTTGTTTCCTCTTAGAGTTGTCATAACTTCACCATATAACTTAAGAACAGTATCGCTTTTCCAGTACTTGGCCATTAGCGACCTTTGTTATATTAACATAAATTTAAATCATAAATAACATACTTTTGCATAAAGGTAAATTGTTAAACAGCAATGTTTACATATTAACAAAAATTTTATTTAAATGTATTACATAATATTAGATTAATTTTCTATTAGGCCTCTCTTTATCACTTGTTATATATATCTTGGATCCCAACGCTATTAGATTTCGAGGGCTAGAGTATCATCATTTCTTAGTCTACTCTGTTCGACTTTTAATTATTATTCTTCTCCTCTTCTCTACAATTTATCTGTTACTTCTCCTTCACTCTCCCGGGATAGTATCCCTACCCAGCACAGGGTGTGTGTGAAGACTACAACGGTCCAAGGGGCAATGTGGACCAGGAGAATATCTCAGAGGCTCGAGGGGCGGAAGTAGCAGCCCTCTCTGCAGGGGTTTAAAGGCAGAGAAGCAGGGATAGAAGCTCTGAAAAGGCAGCCCCAGTACTATCCTTACCGTGTGCAGCACTGGCAACGCGGCTAGGGGACATCACCCCGCTACATTTCTCAATGTTTGATGCCGAACTCAATCCAAAATAATTCATTTAAATTATAAAATATATTTAAATAATCAAGAAAAGGATATTGTTCAACTTAATATAATTTCAGAAACTAAATGGTTCAAATACTTTAAATCGTGATGGACCTCTGAAGGAGGAGGAGAAGAAGAAGAAGAAGACGTAGAAGAAATAGAAGAAGGAGAAGAAGAAGGAGAAAAGATAGGAATTAAAATTGGTATACGTGGTTCTATAGATCTGATCACTATTTATGAGTTGAAACACAATAAAATATTTAAAAAAATCTGGTACTGATAATATAAACATGGAATTGATCAGATATGCAGCGAACCCACTTATGAAGAAACTTCTAAACTTTATTAATATCTGCTGGTGTAGTGGATATGTGCCAAAATAATTAATGAAACCCTAATTTACACATTACATAAAAAAAGGCGACAAATCTGAATGTTCAAATTATAGAGGAATAAGCCTTATGGATTTTTGTTATAAAATCTATAAAAAATTACAAAATCAAAGATTTATAAAATTATTGAAAATCAAATATCTGAAACCCAACTGATTTTAGAAAAGTTAGATCAAGTTCAGATTGTATTTTTATATTAACACAAGTTACTGAAAAGCGAAGAGAATTTAAACTACAAACATATTATGTCTTCACTGATCACGTAAAAGCATTTGACAGCCTAAAATAGAGATTATTGTGGGAAACACTGAAAAATATTGGACTTCTTTCTCATCTTATAACAGCACTTCAATTATTAACCAGAAACAATAAAATCAAGATCCGAATTATAAAAACCGGAACAGAATCAGCTTATGGAAACCAGAGACTAACACAGGGATGGCCGCTCTCAGTGGTCTAACTTTTTATAGTCAATGCAGTACTCCATTGATTTATATACTTTTATATTTTCTAACTGATTTTCTGTTGTTCTTGATGTCTACTGTACATTCTTCGTTTCACCGTGGAACTTGGCGTTCACGCATTGCATCAGAACGTTTGCGTATTGCTGTGTGTGTAACAGATGTTATCATATCAGTGGATTATTTAATTATTATGTTAGTTGGGGGATGCAGTGGACAATCAGGGTTAGTGTTATTGTCCATATTGGCATTCACGTAATTTTGATGCAAGGGTCATTTAGAATTGATTAAAAGCCACGTGGGGTGGCGTTTTAGTTTTTCACTTATTTATATATCAGAAACGTTAATAAGCAGAGGTTAGTGGTCCCTATCATTAATAATTTGGCCAGAAATCCATGACGATCATGCAGCGATGCTTTCTGTATGCCACGCTCAGATCTATTGCATTTTATGATGCATTTCTTATATTGAAGTAAGTAGCAAGTCCTGTATTAAGTAGTAATATTACTTCGTTTAGTTAATTAACCATTCTTCAAATTCTCGGCCCCTTCTATGAAATGTGCAAGGCATATTGGCTGTTGAAGTCGTCTAGCAATATGAAGGATTCAGGAATATTTGTTACGGACATTGTTCAAATCATCACTATTTAATTCTGAACTATTTGGTAAGTATATATTACAGATAGTTAAAGTAAAATTTAATTTGACTCTTTCTTCTGTGGTCTTAAAGTAGTTTGAAGATATATTGCCCCCCCCCCTCAGTCTTGCCTCCACTCGTAGTAGTCTCGGCGCCGCAAAGACCATCACCCAAAAACGTCAGCTGCACGGGCTACTGCAGGAAATGGGTTTAATTCAAAATCACATGTCAGAAAGTATTATTTTTTATCCAAACTACTGTCAAAATATTAGCAGCTGATACGTCATTCTATTCCTCTTTTAATTATCTATCCACTACTAATGAGAAAATATAATTCTATTTAAAAAAAGTTGAAAACATTAAAATTTCCCGAAAAGTAAAAATATTACGAACAATATCTCTACGGCATAATATTACTTGCCCCGTGATTCCGCATCGTTGAGCAAAAACTGCATTTCGATATCGTGAACCGCAGTGAAGATATTTGACCGGTCCCCAATTGGTGGGACAACCCCTGTAATAAAGCAGACGAGAGTGGAATAATATATTGTATAGAAACTTCCTCCCGCACACAACTTTAACTGACAACGTACCTAGAAGCGGGCACACTTGTTATCGATCGCATCGCACTAATAAGAACAACAGACACAGCAGTACGGCTTCAGCTGCGGAACCACTCGTATGTGTGTTTGGGGGCTATGCCGACATTGAAGAGCTAAATATCTCTTGTATTTGACGGGACATATCGTGCTAATTAATTCTACGAATCTAATTTCTTAGTAAGCACTCAAGGACGAAAAGAGTTCGTTCCATTATCTGCTCCTCGTTCTCTGCGTAATCGCAAGTCGGGGCCCACCAGCCTTCCGCGAAGCAATCGCTGTGAGAAGGCCGTGGCGCCGGCGGCATTGACCCTGAAGGAATCTGCGCTGACCGCTGGAGAGCGATAGCCAAAATAGAGCGGCGCTGTTATTCAGGGTATTTCGCAAACAAGACGTGAGCCGCAGACGAGACATGAATTCCTGGGCAGGTGAGTAGACATACAAATTACTGGTGCTACAAACGGCATAGACTTCCCCGTATTAGTTTTCTATTTCCTATAGTCTCGTCTAGCTGTACGAACTTGCTACATACTCTTGCAACTGCCATCTATCGCAACCCGAAATACATTTTTTTATTTCTTCATTTTTGGTTTGTTAATAGTAGAACGGAAACATTATTTTAAGAATATTAAAGAACAGAAAAACATCGTCATAAATGGTAATTTTCTTTGAAATATTTGGTGCCGTTGTAAGAAAAGGGAGTTTAAGCCTTACTGTAAATTCGAAATTTGAAGCTTTTCTCACAGCAAATTTTTGAGTTTTCAAAAAACTTCATGTGAAGACATGTGTAGCATTTTAACTCTAGTACGCAATAGTGTTTACAAGTTGCTGGATAAGTGCATTAACGGTGCGAGAGATCTTTCAAAGAAATTATACTTGGGTAATTTTGAAAAAACACTCCGAAATTAAGTCATAATAAAGAGTGCAATTAGTAATATCTGTTCTAAAAGTTTGAAGAAAATAGTTGTAGTCGTTTTGAGAAAATTGCCTTTTAGAGTTTCTGAGATTGCGGAGTTTTGACCTCATTTACACAGAAATCGGTTGAATTTTCGGGAAACTAATTTAAAACACATGTACTCATAAATATAATAATTTGATGACATTTTTGCTAATATAATTATTAACGATGTGAGACAGAAGTCATAAAAATTACGTTCGGGTAATTTTTGATAAAAACAACAACAAAAGAATTGAGGAAAAACCAAGTTTAGTCATCTTATGGAGATCATTTAGCACTATCCTCAACTAAAATTTAAAGAACAATTTTTACCCGTTTTTGAGAAATTCTTGTTTCTGCAATTTTTTAAAATTGCAAATTTTGCACGCATTATTGCGCGAAAACTACTAAAAGTTTTAAGGAATGCACATGACTAATGAAAGAACTCACTATGAACAACCAATTTTATATGAAGGAAAAACCTCTTTTTAATTTTTTAGTTGTGGGAAAAATTCAAACTTTTGAAATTTTCGAAAAGTCAGAGATAACCGTGGAAAACTGACCAAAGCCACATTTGTAAGTGTATTTTGCTGTATTTTTACAAGAAATGTGAGAATCTGTTCGTAAACTGTACCGTGTAAAATTGCCTTAAGATGTGGCTGAGGGAAACCATTAGTAAACGTACAAGGCCAAGATCTACATGACGTTCGAAGATTGCGAAAGTACTTTTAACTGGGAATATCTCCAGAGGAGCGGTGAGAATCCGATGAACATTAGTAAGTCTTTTAGGTGCTCATAAATAGCATCTGGGAAGAGGGTGTGGTAAACAAAGACTCTAGACCAAACTAAAAGAGAAGAAGTCCCACTTTTCTGTACCATTCATTAGCACTACTTTACCTTTACTGTTCTTAGTAGAGTAGAATAAATAGATGTTAATAACATGTAAATTTAATTCCCTTTCTATTTTACAGAGATTATTTTCTTTCTTGATTTTATGAGCCAACTAAGAGATCATTGACGGGATTCTATTAAAAGGGCCTCCTGCTTTTCTGGGGGTAATACTGAATGAAGTGACAGGGTGATGGTGAGGGGTGAAAGGACGAACACAAATGCAACCATGCCCAAGAAGGAATTCGAAGCCGCGATCACAAAGATTCAGTGCTTCGCAACTTCAACCGTTGTTTCGCCTTTAGTTTGTCTGGCAAACGGTTGCAATTGATCCCTTCAATGCTCTCTTTATCCATTATTGCATCTGTGTCTGCATTCGTTTTGTGCGTGCGCAGTGCTGCTGAGCGTAGTGTTGCTGCTGCTGGCGCTGGGGGCGGAATCACGTTCAAAAGGGGGCAGAAGATGGGGCGCTCGGGGAGGCAGCTCCAACAAGAAGAGTGATGTTCTAATGTGAGTAAGTTCCAATATCAAATGCCGACAAAAGTAGTTACCAAACTCTTAGGTACGCCCCAAGAGATGAAAAAGCTCTTAGTAGCAAGTTCCACGATCACAACATTCTGCAATCACAAGATTCCGCGGTCACAAATATTTACGATCAGAAAGCTATGCCGTGGACAGAAAATTCAGTAGTGTCGCAATTCCGCGATGAAAATATTGCAATCGCAGATACCACGGTCTCACCGATCCACATTCGAAATAGTCACAAAGCTCTTCAGTTGCAAGTTCCATGCTCACAAAGATCCACGGACACGAAGTTCTGGGGTTACAATGCTCTTCAGTCACAAATATCTGCTTTCACAATGACAAACATTTACAAGTTCCTCGCTCGCGAAGCTCCCCATCGTTAAGTTAAACTCTCGCATTCTTGCACTGTTGCATTGTTCTACGTTCGCAAAGTTCCACGTCCCGATGATCCGCGGTCAAAAATCTCTGCGATCACAAAGTTTCGCAGAAATGACGCACCGTGTTTAAAAGGCTCCATCATCACAGATTCCGCTGACGCAAAATTACAATGTCACAAAATTCCGCTAGCATAAAATTCCTCTAACAAATTTCCGAGACCAGGAAGCTCCGAGATCAAAACAATCTGCGATTATAATTTTCCGCGTCACAGGTTCCATTTTTTGGATAATTTTGGTAAAGTTTGGAAATGTCCTGGGGGATTCATGTATAGAACCCTCCCCAAATATTTTTGAAAGATCTCTGAAAATGTTTTGTGGAATAGAGCGTCAAATTTCGAATTTACAGTAACGCTTAAACGCCATTGTCATAAAAATGGCTCCAAAATTTTCAAAGAAAATTGCCATTTTGGACGAGGTTCGTTAATATTCTTAAATAACAATTCCGTTCTATTATTAGGAAACAAAGTCCAAATAAAATAGAAAACTAATACGGGAAAGTCTGTGCCAGAAGAATATCTAGACAAAACGCGCAATATATATATATATATATATANNTATATATATAAATAACTTGTATATACACGGATATACACTTGTATATACACGGAAAATCCAATCAATACCCAGCGTATCCGTGTATATACAAGTTTTTCGTTCTTTTCGTCCGGACGAAATCTTACTTTACACGAGGGTAGTGTTTGTACATATTTGATCGAACCCATTGCACGAAAACTTTTGAACAGTCAAAAAAAACATAGGTTTCGCAGAGGAAAGATATGACAATTAAAATGAATTCTTATCTCAACTTGTCTTAATTTTCAGGTCGTTTTTTGGTAGCAGAGGATCCAGCGACACTGGAATGTAAGTACATATTCAAATGCATCACTAACGAATATTGTGTTAATATTAAATTATCAACAAAATTGAAATAAATGTTTATTTTTCGAATGTGCATGCAGTCTTCATTGTTCTTATTTTAATTCTTTAATATATCGAATACGATTCACTATATAAAACAAAACGTTTCTCGAATTTGTAATTGTATCGTTGTTACGGTGAGGATATCGATAAAGTGGCCATCTTGCGGTTTCTGTGGGATCGTAGATGCTACATCGTATACTTTTCTGTGGGATCGTAGATGCTACATCGCAACTTAGCAAAAATTTAAAGAAATAGAACAAATTCTTCCTCTTATTACATGTAATTCAATTTTTTATATTAACAACGTAAATACTCGACCATTAAACTGAAAAATGCACTCAGAACATCGTAATTTAACATGTATTTTGACACGTTAATCTCTAGAAGACTGGTAATAGTAAAGATCAATCATTTATATGGCTTAAAACCTGAGGAATAGAGCCAGAATCGGAAGTAATTTTAATTGCTGCCTAAGATCAGGCGTTGAGAACACGACATTATGATAAATCGGTTCTCAAAATTTCCCAAGATGATATATGCTGCATTTGCCAGGAACAAGTCGAAACCATAGATCATATCGTCCCATCTTGACCAATTCTAGCAAAGACCGAATACTAGAAAAGACACGATAGGGTTTGTAGTTACCTCCTCTGTAAGATCTGTAATGCCCTTGAAGTTCTTAACACATGCTCCAAGAGGTATGACCACTCACCAGAACTGGTGAAGTCTGTTAGAGTGGGTACAATATTGTACCTCCAACAAATTCAAACTGATCGCATGATAGCGGCAAACAAACCGTATATGGTTATCCAGGATTTGGAGAAAAAAATCGTGTCTACTTGTAAATGTGGCTGTGCCTTGCGATAAAAAAACATCGTAACCAAGGAGGCAGAGAATTTCTTAAATACAAAAATTTGGAAATCGAAATCTGCCTCATGCGGGGGAAAAACACAGGTCATTCCGATAGTCATCGGATATCCGGGATTTGTTCCACATAATTTGTGTAAGAACTTGGCTAAACTCTCAGATCATTCAAAAGATTGGGAAGTGTAAGAAATTGCTTTATTGCGAACTGACCACATTTCTCAAGATGGCGACACTGCAGGAAGGGCAGTCTCATTTTCGCGCGTAGATTTTTGAAGCCCTCACGAGCGTGTGATGAAGTTGAGGTGCTGGGTATTGTATTTTTCTGTTCTTTTTGAGTTTAGGATGAATACGAATAGTAGTTTTGTCTACTATTTAAAAAGTGTGAAATTTAGGAGCATAGATCCTCAAGCAGCGTCTTGCCATGCGGTTTTGACCACTGACTCCAAGAGAACCGTACCCCGGCTGCTGGCCACTGCCCCTGGATCGTCCAACTCACCAGTAGTGTTTGTGGTGTAAAGAGAAGTGTGGGCTACTCCGGCGCACCGATTTTCGCTCCTTCTACGCTGCACCCGCTTGCGTCACGCACCACGTGACCACAACACGCGCACTTCCTTTGAATAGCCAGACCAGACGCTGGCCGCCATGTTGCATGGACAGCGGGAAGTGTTGAGAAACACTTTGAAAGAGGCATAAAGAGACAATTTTGAACTAAATATAACAAGATGGTGTAATTGAAGTAGGAGAGGCAATATCTTTACAAAAATATTTCATACATCTGTTTCAATGACTTGTAACAAGGTAATACTTTTGTTACATGGCTATATTTAAAACTGTCGCTAATTTTGCGATGTAAACTGGTGCCTGAAGCTCACTGGCTGAAGTCAGATATGACATACTAGAGCCCACCTATCTCTTTCCTCCGGTCGCGTGACCCCACCTCCTTTAAAAAGGCTCACACAAGTACGAGTGTATTCGTGTCCGTGTGTGTTTCAGAAGGCGCTCCCAGACACTCCGTTCATCCACTCAGTGCGTACCTCGTTGCTCCTGTTGTGATATCCTCACTTCTCTCGTTCTCTACTTCCAACCCCTCAGTCTCCTCCTCCATCAAGGCGTCTATCCCGCCAGAACTTCACAGCTACATAACTAGAGGTGGCAGGAGGCACCAGAGTCTGTTGATCGAGTTGAGAGTGGTCACAGTACTATTTTACTAAAGAACGGAAATTCCACCTGTAATAGTATAATTATTACAATAATTACAGTTATAGTTATTATAATCTTGTTATAATTATTACAGTTACAATTATAACAATTATTATTAAAATTATTAGTTATAATTATTATTTTGCTTTTACAGGACAGATACCACCACAACAGAAGACTCCAACAGGTAATTTTGTCATATATAAATCACATCCACGCATTTATTAAATGATTTATAATTTTAACACCCCCCCACTTTTATCTCTTTGCAATCACTAAGATTCTCATCTTTCGAAGATTGTAATGGAAGATTTCCACTATTGAACATTTTTGGAAGACTGTATCTTTCAAATGTGTTTAAGGAAGTGTCGTGAATTGTTCCAAGATCATCTGTCTAAAATACGGAATAATCTTATTTAAAAATGGTTTCAAACATGAACTGCATTGTTTCTTTCTCGTATACGTACATAAATGAAGTAATATACGAAGTATAGAGAAAGTTATGTAGTAGACCTATTGTTGCGGAAAATCGATTTCGACATTTCAACGCGTTGGAAGGTTGGATTTCATACACGTTTTGGGATACCTGATACTGAAAAAGGTTTTTTTTTTTAAAAAAAACGTTACTCCGTCCGTTGGTCTTGTCGGTAATAATTTTCCATAAAACAAATAAATTTGTTGATTTTTGTATAATCTGTTAACATGTGAATGAAATAACGTTGTGATGTTACAATCGCATTTATTATTTTAATTATACTGTATAACAGAGTAATAGAAACGACGATCGTAGACATGATTGATAGGACGTTGATAGGACGCGGAGAGGGGCTGGGCGGATTGAGCGGGTAGAGTAGAACGCATGGTAGAGTGGAACTAAGAGTTGCAACACGTAGCGAGAGGGGATGGGGGTGGCGGTGATTGTAATAAAATCACTTTATATTTCACTGGGCGTAGAATTAATTCTTTTTTCTCTCTAACAGATGACTGTGATAAATAAATACGGAGACTAAACAGGGTACGAGTATTTAAGCTAGTCCATTTTATTGACTATACATATCCAAGTCTGAGAATCAGTGCTTAGACTGTAGAAAAATATGTTATTGAATTAATAAATATAAAACTAGTTTTAGCTGAATTCTTACATTAATATGTATTAATTTTAGAGAGTCATCTGGAAACACTGAAAACCCTAATATTGGACGGAACATGTAAGTACATTTTCACTAGTATCACGTACGAATGACGGTTTAGAATAAAGTATAAACAAAATAAAATAAAATAGAACAAACATAACATACATGTTTATTTCAAATAATGTTAGAGCCTTTCCAATTCATTTAACAAACTTTAATATGCCGAATATTTTACCAAAAAAATACTTTACTAGAGAAAAAAAGACTTTCTACCAATGATTAATAATAAATGTTGCTTATTGCAGCCAAAACACAAAAATAGATTTCAACAAAGCCATTGACGACTACTACAGGTAATTTTATCTGATGATTAAAGTTAAACAATTCAATTATAAAACATTATAGGAATGAATTCTAATTTTCACATTTCACATTTTTAGCAGGCTCACTGATACCGCTATGAGTATGAAACCTGAATATGAGTAAGTAATTTTTTGAACCTGCTCAGAAGGTGTTTGAGAAAAATATCATAACCAATTGTCATTTTCATATGCCAAAATGTGGCAACGTACTAAATAAATTACTAAATGCAATGTTACTAAAAAAATTCCATTGATGATTGCAGCCCGAAAACAAACACTCACCACATGAGCAACTTACCTGACGTCTTAAGATAACTTTACCTTATAATAAAAGTTAAATCTATTCAATTAATATCACATTGGGTATGAATAATTGTTGATACGTATCCCCAATTTTAGGAAAATGGATGGTCTCCTGGAGAGTTTCAACTCCGAAAACCTGTAAGTATATGTTCATGCCTAACGCAGATTGTCTTTGAGAAAATTTCTTGACCAACGGTTGTCTTTACTTATTTAGCAACCTTTAATACACCGCAATTTGCAACATATATTATTTTATTTAAGAAATTAAAAAATGCAACCGATGTTTACCATAACTCTTCTCATTGCAGTAACAAGAGATATGGTATAAACAGTAAAAATGATGACTCTTTCAGGTAATTTTATCTAATGACGCAAGTTAAAACTATCCATTACACAATAAATCACACTGGGAATGAGTTTTAATTTCAACGTATTCCAATTTTTAGGAGGCTCTCAAGAACTACTGATAGTCTCGACTCAGGAAACTTGTAAGTTTATTTTCTAAGGCTTCTTTGAAGCAAATTATATTTCATTGCACAGTTCAATAAGAGCAAGTAAAATTTGTAATATTTCCAGCTTGAAATAGTGTTGGGTTCATAATCAATCCTTAACGCAATCCAAAAAACCTACTTATTTATTTTGAATGATGTTATAATCTTTCTTCATTTATACACTTTAATATGCTAACGATTTTCATTACAGATAGTTTACTAGAGAATACTCAATGTATTGATGTATTTCTTTTTAAGTAATCTGCAAATCTTAGAAATAAATCATAGAAATAAAGCAACAATGCGGCATTTAGAAGCTAATTTTTTGTCGAACGTCGAAATGTTACAGACGATAAAATATTAGTTCATGTAAAGTACACCTAGTTTTGGAAAAATCGTACGAACAGTATAGGCGCTAGTGTTGTTCACAGACGGACGGACGTTTTGAGAAAAAAACACTTTTTCCGTATCAAGGGACCCCAAAACGCATATTTCCTTTGAAATCTCGAAATCTATTTTTCTCGGCATTACATAACTTTCTCTATACTACGTATATATCTTCGTATATTCGTACGTATACCGGATAGTAAAAGTGACATTGCTATTATATACGTCGATTATTTGAAGAACATTCTATAACATATAGGCATTTAAATTAAAATGTAAGTTAATTTAATATGGGGCGTTATTGAAATATTAAGAATATGTATACGCACGTATACGAGGCAGTAATAAAAAGGAGTGCGGAATCGCAGATCTCACATTGCGCTTAACTTGGGGCTCAGACCCCCAAATCCTGTGTTTAGGTCTCATGGTCTACGGATGGCGCGATGGTTGAAAACGAGATTGAATATTTAGAATCAATATTAGCCATACAATTAGATGACCCAAAATCTCCACCTACAGATATCTTAAATAGTTAGGCCGCAAATTTAAAACTAAAAATTTCCAAGTTGGAAAGGATTTGATTGATTGATTGATTGATTAGATTAGATACTCCGGGCGCGTCAACTGCTACGGTAGTCTCGTAAGTAGTGCATGTTTTATCGGATGTTGTGGTAATTTTCCCCACTTGCGGGGATTTTCCACAACTGGTGTCTTCCACCAGCTTGGCACCGCTCTGCTAGAAACAAGCTCAGAGCTCCCTTCGTGTGTTGTAATGGTGTGCATGTAAGTAACGAGAGTGGAAAGGACAAGAGAAAGGAAATATCGCACACGGCCCGTTTATTAGGCTACTGCTCCGGCATTCACTTGGTGTTGATCGGAGAAACCACGGAAAACTACCGATCAGAGCAGCCGGCTGCTAGAATTCACTTCCAGGCTGCGGCTGAATTTGACGTAGCTGTCTAGCCAGTGTCGAATACCCTGCCATCGGCGGGACTAGAATCCTAGAACCTTCCCCGTCAGAGGCACTGCAGTGATATCAATTGATGCCCTGAGTCACATTTGGTGGTGAATATGTTGGAAATTAAAATGAGACCTATTATTTATATTTTTTGTTATTTACGTCCATTAACACGCACTTATCTCCTTAGAAATCAACCATCTAAGCAACACATTTAGAGTACGTCCATAGCAACGGCGGTTAAAATGTTCGAGAGTCCATTAAACAAAAAAAAGCGGACTTTCAGGTTTAGGTTTATACCAGTGCTCATAAATCTTTAGATAAATATGTCGTTGCTACAAAACAGAATATATGGGAATAAATGTAAGCAAAATTTCTTTGTATAATTGTTTTGGTATGGACAAATTAAAGTTACAATTCTTTAATCAGTTGTTGAGGTTTTGTGCATCTGCATTAAGCGATTTAAGTAAAATAATGAATATGTATATCAACATTAAATTTAAATATAATTTAACCAGTACCCAAGGAACCAACTTAGATCTCTCTAAAAATTCCGAAATTATTGTTAATTTTGACTTTCTCTCCTTACGAATTCTTCGTAAGAAGAGAGTTATGTAATCGTGTGCTAGAAAATGCCGAAATTTGGCCAGAAAAAAAAACAAACATTGTTGCTAGGTTCTGGTAACAAAAAGTGGATAAATCCTGTTGCTAATTTTTGAAAAACAAATCTTCTAACTCGTGGTGTAGCCATAATCTATGTTTTGTTGATTCTTGATACCGAAATATCGATTGACGGTAAAATGTCCGTCTTCCCGTTGCTTGTCTGTCCGTCTGTGGTGAAAGCTAGCGTCTAAATCGTTCAGCTGATTTTCTTTAAAACTGATATTCTCTGATTGATCTGAACGGACCGGAGCCTTTGAGAGTTTCTAAGGTGTATTTTGGTTGTTCAAGTTTTTTTTTTCATGAATTGGGCATTTACCATTGACCGAGTTCGACCCTTACGGCACGTAGTATTCTGTGGCATAGTGGTATGAGAACCGGCTTGTGATCTCTGATGATCTGAATTCGAGTCTCGAAGCGGAAAATAATTTGCTGCTTGAAAACACGTTTGCTCGTTTATGTAGTAGTATAATGTTGTGGAGCACGTACAAACAATGCGAGAAAGTATGTGCTTTGGCAGCACCACTAGTGTTTAAATTTGTACCAACACTGAGGTAGTTGTCCTTCCCTGAATCCTGTCTCTGTTTCCTATCGAGTAGTAGAAAATTTAAGTTGGTTTGTGAAGCTGGAGTTGGATAAATCGTACAATAACTGATTTGTTTGCGTATTATGCATAAACTTGTGTACCAGTACAAAAAAAGAGTTAAATAATATAAGAGCAGTTCCTAATACAAGGAAATACTTGGAATTTCTTCTAAATCTGCCATCCCTTTTATAATTAAAAAGAGTAATGAATGAAAAAAGCATATATATTTAAATAAGTCCGCAAATTAACAAATGAAATTTATTTCTATGGACTGGTTGGAGACTTCTCCGTGACTTCGTCAGAAGAACATTGTCGAATGGTTGTAGTGATGTGACATCGAGATGACGAGCACACGCCACGGGATCGACCCGTCGTGCAGTTCCGTAGTATCTTGCCAAGATTTGTGTACACCCCTTGCTTTAAAGTTGAATATAATAATATAACGCGATACCATCAAACGTACTTGCAATCACTCATGTACCGTTAGTTTAAGTAATAATACTGTAACAGGCCAACGTACTGAAACTCCCGCTAAAGCAACAGCAAATTTTATTCTTATGACACACGGTGTACCATCTGGTGATGTCAAATTGCCTGACAAGACTTTACAAATAAGAACACCACGCCACCCGATGTTACGAAATCCACTTAATTTCCCTTTGCCAACAAGAATTGTTAAGGAAATTGTCTCAGCATTTTAATGTGAAAATATTTAAGAACCATTATGTAATGAATTTGAATAAAATTGAACTTCATTATTTACTGTTAATTGTAATTTCTCTTAATAAAATAAAGGCAATAAATGCAAGAAAAAAGTGTTAAATTTTATGTGAAATTTCAAAATTTATTTCATAATTAAATATTAGCTGTTTTCAAACAAGATAAAATTAAGGATTGGACGAACACTGTTTCCCATAAATTTATCAATCCTTTAGTTCCAGAAATTTCAGCATTTCCACAGTGCATTACTACCATTATATCTGAAGCACTATGTTTAAAATCACTTAAACCATGTTATCTAAATTTATTTATCTGCAAGACTGTAATACAAAATATTGGATGTTTAGTTAAATAAAAAACATATTTAATATTTAATAACACGTCGCAATCTGGTAACATTATTCCCAGATGAGGTTCGAACCGGTTCTTAATTTGCGAGACCAGCTATCCATGGGATTAACTGCTTAATCTTGAAGGCAGTGATAACTGACGCCACATTTTGTTCAACTTGAAGCTTTAATTTAACTTTGCTTTATACATTTAAACTTGAGGGGAAAAAACGGGAAGCAAAGACCAAGATACAATTCCAAAGTTGTTACTAGCACTGTAAAACCAAGTGCTTAACTCAAATTCAAAAACGAGATGTTAAGAGAAACGAGACAGTCATAGCGATCAAATTATATTTACATTGCCACTTTGAAACAGAAACAAAAAGAAGCAAGGGCTAAGATATAATTTGGATACAGTTTCCAGCAATGTGCGAAACGCTCGATTGTGAGTTGAAAATTTCTAAGTCAGGTGTTGAGGAAATTCTACACGCTCGTTGCAAACAAATTATATTTTACAGGCACCGAAATTTTTCACCTTTGTCTAGCAACCCACACTTACAAAACGACAATAATTGAATCATATGTTTCGAAACGTCAAATTGTAGTAAAAGCCAATTGTTGGTGGACAATGTTAGCTAGTTGGTTGTGTCTCCCTAAGTACGCGCTGTCGGCAAGTGCAGTACATCCAGCCATTATATGTTCGATTGCTTCACCACTGGTGCCGCATTTCCTGCATTTGTCAAACACGGGCATGTACATGCAATGTTTCTCGTAGTTCCTAGTTCCGCATACTCTATCGAATTGTCATTATAAATCCTTGTTTCTGGGTATTAATATCCGTATGATAGGCATTGCAATGAGGATTGTGTTTCAACATGAGGTTCATGGATAGCTTTAGGAAATTTGCCGTGCATTGCATTTTATTGCCACTCTTCTAGATCTCTTTGAAGAGATCACAGATCCTAGAAAAAACCTTGTACGCACAAAATCTAAGTAAATTGTATCCTCCTTCACTTCATATTAGGTATTTTTTCGAAACATTGATAGTTTTTAATTCTTTACTACGTGGTTAAGTGGGATAATTTTGGTTTTTTGATGTATTTCGCTTATACCACCAAATTTCGCGGTACTTTGACGGCTAAACCATTAATTGGAGAAAAAATGTAATGACATTAAATGTAGGTAATCTTCATTTATTTCATATAAGATCATTAATTACGAAAACTGAATGGCTTTTCCGTTATTCTGAAAAAAAGGGCAAAAAAAAAGATTTTTACACATTTTTAGCTTAAAAATCGTGTTTCCTGAAAATATTTTTGTTTGCCAACCTGATATTCGTGTTTAACGACTCCAAAGAAATATAGGACACAAATATACACAAAACCCTCTTATTTTCAAACATTTAACTGATCTACAAGCCGCGGAAACTCTCGTGTTTGTTTTCCGGGTACGGGTTCATTACAGTACTAACGCCATTGACTGGTTTTATCGTGCTAATTAATTCTACGAATATAATTTCTTAACAAACACCCAGTGCGAAAAAGAGTTCGGTGCATTATCTGCCTGTCGTTCTCCTCGCAAGCGCAAGTCGGCTCCCCGAGCCTTCCGAGAAGCACTGGAGGCGCGTCATCGTTCCCCGAAGGTCGCGGTGCCCCTGCGGAAAGCGGCTGCCGGCCAGGCAGTGCAACGCAGCGGGCAGAGAACGCAACAAGTGAGCCGCAGTCGAGACATGAAGCCCTGGGCGGGTGAGTAGATACACACAAAAGTAGAAACTACAAGGTGGCAGGTCATACGTCTTCAGAGCTTTTTCATCTTACGATATCGAAAAAATGTTTTTTGAAAAGTT